GCCCGGCGGCCGCGGGCGGGGCAAGGGCCTGAAGCAGCGCGGCCGCGCCCCCCCGCGTGCCCACACCGCGGCCCGGCATGCCTCCACGCCCGGCGGTTTTGTGCATAAGGAGTCACTTCGACTTCAGTCCGGCTCTGTGCGAGAACAGAGGCGTCTACTCGGATGCTGTCCTCACTTCAGCAGCAAGGCACGTCTACCTCCTGCTTCAGTAGCCACAATTGCTGCCCCGCCCCGCCCCCACGATGGGTAGACAAAAAAAAAGAAGTGGAATGTAAAGTTTTGGGGAGCGTCCTCTGATGGGTATGAAGATCGTTACCTCCAGCAACGCATTGGCTTCATAGAAAGGTTTTTGTGTCAGTCCGTTGTATAACGCTAGTTTTCTCAAGTTCCTACCTGTCTTTTTAAATAGGACTTTACTGCTGTTCTGACTCGCCCAAGATGTACATAGACAAATAATGGAAGCCCCTGAATACCTTGATTTGGATGAAATCGATTTTAGTGATGACATCTCTGTAAGTATAAGTCTTATTTTATCTGTTCCAAGGGCTACAATTGTTAGGTGTCTCAGTCATACAGTTTTGGTGGTGGTGGCCAAACCCTGCTTTGCCCTTATGCATGGGGATACCTTATTGTACTTGTTATCTATTATATGTTATATTGTTGTGGGTCACTTGAATTGAGACCATTTGTTTGCTTATCTACAAGATCTGCCCTTTCTAGTGTTGACCAGGTCAGAAGTCCAGCAGGGTTTTTGCTGTGCGTGTGTATTTCTTTTTGTTTTGGGTATTTTTTTTTTGTAAATGTGCAGCTTTTATGGTGTAACTAGAATCAGAAGGGTTTCCAAGTATTTTAAAGACAATGTCAGTCTTGGGACTGCTCTTAAAATAATTCTAGTTTGAATTATTATAAGCAAAAATATTGCTCTTCTGAGGTTATAGACAGATGTAACAATTGTATCAATATCAAAGTATGCCAGTACAAGCTGTTATGATACAAGGTTAAATCTGTATGATCCTCCTTCACTCAGGGTTAAAGTTAGGGCAATTTAATTAACTTTTACCTCCTTGGGATCATGCAGATGTAACCATTAGAGCATAGCAGCTGCTGCACACTCCCAACCAGCAGCTTGCCTTCCTCTTTTAAAACCCCTACAATTAGTGTTTGTCTGCACCTTGAAGTATGCACTTTCCAGCTCTTACAGGAACCACTGAAACACTTCATTCCTTCTTTCTAATTATACTTCTGCTACAAGTGTTCCTGTTTTATGAGTGAACCTGTTGTTTATATACCAAATGCCTGTTTAATGAGGGCAGTTTAACATGCACATAATTCTGATGTAAATTACGTTTATTAATTTGATTTGCAGGTCACCTGTGCTGTCACTGACAAAGTGAAGCCTGCATATCCAAGACTCTTATAAACTTCTCTTACAGAGGGTCTCATTTTCCCTGCTCTAGTTTATGCTGCATAGTGTTGCCTGCAGCAATATAAATGTATCCTCATTAAAAACTGCTCTGCAAAGCAATGCTGTCTCTGTGAGCAAAGGAAACCCTTGGCTGGTAGCTAGCAGAAGGTGGAAGTAGACATACCCACACCTTCTGCTAGATGCTATGGCCCCTTCAGCACCTGGTACCTGTCTAGGGTGCACTTCATGCCCTGCCAGCGGGGCTGCAGGCAGAGCTGTGTGGTGGCACCAATTGCTTTATGGGCATGAACAGCGCTTTGGCAGCTTACCCATGGCAGGTGCTCTTTGCTGTCAGAATTTCCAGTGACAGACACAGTCATGGGTAGGTGAGGCTAGTGTTTGGGTAGGCAGTCCTTTTGAAAAGCTCCATGTTTTCTATTCCCATACAGCTTCCTTTTAAAAGGCATTTTATTTTTACCATTTTTTACAATGGCTTCTAATTAAATGGGGATAAATTACAAGATAAGGCCCCAGTTGAGAGGATAGGTTTTTCTGGACAGCTGTCTTGTTTATATCTATTACCTACTAGCTTGGGTGTCTCAAACTCACCTGCCCTCCCCAAGCCTGACCCAAACCAGAGGGCTCCTCACAGGCCAGATCTGGACCAAGATCTGGTGGTGGGATGAGCAGCAGTGGCAACAGCGCAGGGGTTAACATAGCCATTGCTTGCCACCTGCCACTGACACATCCCCAGTGGGCTCTATACTCTGGATTTTGGTGATGGGCCCTGCCCTGACTCATCCCACACCTAAATCTCCAGCGTCTCTAGGAACCCCATGGGCCAGAAGACGCTGCTCCATGGACTGGATTTGGCCCACAGGCCATGTTTGACATCCCTATGCTGAATCATGTCCCCATATGTGTTTCTAGGCACAATTTTACAAATTCTTTGTGAAGAATAGATTTAGATCCAAAGTTGATTAAGTAATGACTAAAAATTGTTAAAACGTGATGAGTATTCTTGTGGCCCAGTGAAGTGATATGATGGTCTCAGCCCATTTCTGAGTGGACAGGTATACGCATCAGAAAGTCATTCTTTCAGCTGAGTTCCTTGTCAGACAACTCAGCCAGGGGTCACAGGTTTTTGTGGGCACCGAGATTGCCCATGGCATCTAGGAGCTATTTTATATTACTAAGGGGGAAAAATATTTTAAATTTTTTTTTGATTGTACATGGGTTCCTGAATAAAGAGAAACTCTAAATTTTTCTTCTGTTTTTCAAACTCTTAAGCTACCATGATTTAAGTGCCACATATCACAGATTTGTGTGCAGGTTAAATAACAGAGTAGAGTTACGTGACCTTTATTTAAATTACACACACACACATCATTATGTTCAAAATGACATTAAGTATTGGAGTTACATGCTTTCATTTATTAGTAGTAGTAGTAGTAGTAGTATTGTGAGAGAGCAAGGTACAATCCCCCAAAAGAGCAGGAACAGGATAAAAGTGACTTGGTGGGCGCATCTACATGTGCAGGTAATGCACTTGAATTTTCAGCGCAGAAAATTCAGGCTCATTAAAGCACTCCCCAGCGCATGTCTATATGTGTGCCCCCATCAGAAGTAAATTGAACCCAACAGGAGCAGCCCAGTCCAGGGCTTATCCTGCTCTGCTCTGCCACCCTGCAGCAGCCAGGGGGAGCTCCAGACTCCCCCAGGTGCCAGCCCCAGGGACATGGAGGCTTAGCCACAAGCTCCAGAGGGCAGGGAGAGCTGTCCCAGCTCAGCAGGAAGCTGCTTCTCAGCCACTTGGAGATCTTGAACTGTCCTGATCTCCATGGGGTAGAGAGAGCTGTCATGGCCAGCAGGCAGATGCCTGGGAGCTGTGACGGTCTCCTGTCCCTTGCTGCCTAGGCTGATCAGGAGCAAATTGCTCCTGGTCAGTGTCTACACGTGCAGTAAGGTGCATTAGTTAATGCACTATTTTTATAGTACCTCTATCTACAAACACTAGAAAATGGTGCATTAGACTAATATACTGTGCAGTAATAGCTGCACATGTGTAGACAGTGATGGTTTACTGTGTGCATTAGATTAATTTAATGGACAGTAAAGCATCTCTTGTAGACACACCCACTCTGTAATTAAAAAGTTGTATTTGATCTCTGATATGCCTTTTTAAAAGTCAGGGTGCACAGCTTTAACCTGCCACTTTTCCTTGGCAGAAACATTCATAAAATCAGTCCTGTTATTTAATTTTAATCTGTTTTAATCATTACTTGGTGATTTCTATGTTCATTAATTAAAATGCAAACCGTCTATTGCGCACCCATGTTATACGGATTAACATTACACATATTACTGATTATTGTAACACAGAGGTTATAGCAAATATGCCAATCGGATCCAGGGCCCCTTGGATTAGATGTGGAATAACATGCAGGAAGACAGTATATTCCCTAATGATCTTAAAGCAGGGGTTGGCAATTATTTTGGCTCAAGGGTCACTTAGGGAGTTTTAATGAGCTGTGGTTGCTTGGGTCTGCACCCCTGCCTCCACCGCTACTCCCGCCACAGTTCACCAAAATTCCCAAAGTGGCCCCTGTGGGCAGCTGGAGTGGGGTTGTGGGTGAACAGGGAACAGTATGTGGGAGCAGGATAGGCTGATGGGGCTTGGGCCGAGGCTGAGCTGGGGCTTGTGGGGCAGTAACAATGCAGGGCCAGGACCAGAGCAGAGCCTCAATCCACTGCCCACTTGCCCCTGTGATAGGCACTAGTTCTGCAGGCAGAGGAGTACAGGGAGTAGATCACAGCTCTGCCGTGGGTCCTGGTCTCACATTGTCAGTGCCCAGCGATGTCGGGGTCTCCATGGTGACTGGCTAGGACCCGTGCAGGCAGGGTGGGCAGCCAGGCAGACAGGATGGGGCCATAAGCAGGAAGAGAGCTCCATCCGGGAGCAGGACAGGTGTGTGGGGCCAGACCTGGGATCTTGGTTGGTGACAACATGGGGCTGGGTTCTGGGATAGAGCCACAATCTGCTCCCTGCACGTCCCTAGCTGCAGAACGAGTACCCATCACAGGGCCATGCAGGCAGCAGATTGCAGCTTTGCCCTGGGCCCTGGCGTTTTGCTCGTACTGCCGTGCAATCCCAATCCCCAGCCCCACCCATGCATCCTGCTCCTTGATGCCACTCCATGCCCCTGGCTGTGGGTGTGGGGTAGATGGGCGGGCGTGCCTGGGCAGTGAGCCTGGGTCCAGCAATAGCAGCTGGAAGGAGTCACCGCTGGAGCTGCTGGGAAACAGAGTCTGGTTGCTGTGCTGCCCAGCCCCGCTGTATGCCATGGGGCTGTGGGACCAACCACATGTGCCAAGACTCAGGATACAGTTTAACCCATAGAAGAGCTACATTAAGGCAGTTGTAAGTTTGTGATGGTTGCAGGGTAGCTGTTACTCGCTTGATGATTTGACTCATCTTGAATGATCAGCCTTTTCTCCTAGTTACCTTTAATTATTGCTCGCTCTAATAATACATGATTGGCCTGGAGGGGGTGGTTACAATAGACTATACAATGAATGTGAGCCAACACTGTATTCTTGTTGCAATAAAGACAACGGCATATTTGGTTCTATTGACAGGAATGTCTCTTGCAAATCGAGGGAAGTGATTTTACCACACTATTTGGCACTGGTGAGGGTCCATCTGGAGTACTGTGTCATTCTCGACCTGGATGCCAGGCCATTCTGGGGTGCCATGAGCCTCTTCCAGGGGTACAGCAACATGAGTGCTGCCATAGCCAGGCTAAACTTCCCCACATCCTTTCTGGAGAAGGATATCAGGCAGTAGCTGTGGCTGGAGCCTATGTTCTTCCTGCAGTCCTTCCTGGTCTGACCGCACATGTTCCTCCCATGCATGCTGATCACAGCCATTGGTGTCCACAGTTTGTTTCCTCACAATCATACCATCCGCCTACTGTTTTCTCTTGGGTTATGGCCGCCATTATTTTTTGGTCTGTTGTTTTAATATGTGCACAAATTAATTCTGTATTAATTAAAGCAGTGTTTCCCAAATAGTGTGGCATGACCCTGGAGGGGGCACAGAACATT